AAAATGGTATAAAAACCATCAGAGAATTTGGTATAGGAACTAAAGGCAGCAAACAGCCAAATAACACCTGCTCTGTATCAGGCATTGACATTATTTCAGAACAGCCCTATGAGAATTATGCTTTATGATATTTAATTAATTATTTAATCTATTTATTTATTTATTTATTATTTTTAAAGATTTTATTTATTTATTAGAGACAGAGCACACGTGAGAGAGAGAGAAAGAGAGAGAGACAGCAGGAGCAAGGGCAGAGGGAGAGGGAGAAGCAGATTCCCCGCTGAACGGGGAGCTGGACATGGGGCTCGATGCCAGGACCCTGGGATCATAACCTGAGCTAAAAGCAGATGCTTCACCAACTGAGCCACCCAGGCACCCCAGTGATATTTAATTTAAAGATAAGGAAATGAGGTTCAAAAACATTGTGATAACTTGTGCAAATTCATCGCACCAGTGACCGATAGTGCTAAGTCTTCTACTCAGCTCAGAGCCCCCAGACATGAGCACTCAGGACACCTGCTGTCCAGCCTTCTGCTCCAAACCCCTCCATCACTTGGAAAGCCTAGTTCTCTCCCTGAGACGGGATGCAAGAAATAGTTGTCACTGGAACGAGTAATTAGCAATGCGAGACAAAGGTAGTTTCCACATATTGCCAAAGCCACTATTCATTTAGCCTGTTTAATTAAACTATTGACTAATCAAATTATTTGACTAAGCCGGTAGCTGCTTAACTAATGGTTCAGATAATCTATCAGGCAGTCCCATGCAATCCAGTTTGAAAGATTCAAAACACCCCGATAAAATCCTCCATGAAAGAAAGACCTCAAAAAAGGCAATGATGCCATGTTCATAAGTGTATTATTCAGGAAGCTGGAAGAACCGAAGTCATCTGTGTTTACCAGCACAATAGTCACTAATGCCCCGAGCAACCAAAAACTACAACTGAAAATCAAGAACACAGGAATGCATGTGCAGATTCTCGAGGGAGCATTTGAAGAAATGAGAAAACGGTAAAAATATTGAAATGGAATTTATTTTTAAGAAAACTCTGGATCCCCTTTCCCCGTCTGGCCAGCAGTGCTGAGACAGAGCATGGAGACCAGCCACAGGAATTTCATTGCCACAACTTGACCCCCACTAATGATTCTTGGACACAGCCAAAGCTGAGAACCACTGGGCTAAGCAATCGTTTTCCTTGGTATTTAGTGTTTCAAGTTTAAGTACATATTCGAAATCATCTGATCTTCTCTTTGTGTCATATAAGCAAGTTCCCCACAGTGGCCATTTCTTGATGAACTTCCCAGAGATACTACAACATACATTATTTAAAATGGTTTCCCAAACCTCAGATACAGAAAGGGTTGTTAGGAGACCCCCCCTCCATAGATACACACCACACACACACACACACACACACACACACACGGGCAGGAGATCTAGGACAGGTGTGGGTGGTGAGCAGTGGTAGCAATGTGCCCAATGAGCATGTTCATTGGGAAGAGCCAGTTAACTCTATCACATTTGTTAATGTAAAATACCCATCACATAATGCCTCGAAGGAGGAAATCCCTTCCACTTTGCTTACCAAGATCATCCTAACAGCTGAAATCTTCCAGGTAAAACATCTGCTGTGACATCTGTAGAATCATATCTTCCCAATCTCCCTACCTATCCCACTGGGAAAACAGAAGCCCTGTCCTGGGTAGTGATTACAGGAGATATTCCAGAATCACCCTAAGGTTTGGGGCTAATAGGATATAATATGGGAGATGGGGGGGGATTATCATTAAAGGTGATAATAGTCATCTTTGCTATTCTCCTGTTTGTTTGTTTGTTTTTTATAAGAAACCTCTGGAGTGTTTAACTTAAACTTGTAGGTTCCTGTGTTTCAAGCCCAAACTTACTTTCTCAGAATTTCCCGGGGAGCAATCTGATGTTTGCCTATGACTTGGGTGAGCCTGGGATGAACCTACGGCCAAGATAAGGTTGAGGGAAAGGGAAGCCGCAGGGAGAACTATAGTGCTGGAGGTACAGAGAGGGAATGAAATAGAAGAATCCACTGCAGAATAGACTGAGTAAAGGAGAAGAAGAAAAGCTATGAATATGAATTCGAATGGAGCCTGTGACACCTTCAGATGCCCCAGATGAAAATACATCACATGCGGCTGAAAATGGGGGGCTCATATGTGTGCATCTGAGAGCAAAACGAGAGGTGGTGTTTCGAGCCATGTTATTACAAGGGAGAAGAGGCAGACATAAAAGAAGGAAAAAAAAAAGAAGACCAGGAATAGATAAAATTAATTTACTTAAGAGTTTCAAAAATCTCCTATGGGGTTGAAAGCTAGGCTGTAAAGTTTTCTCAACATCAGCAAAATGCTCTGTAATTTTTTTAAACCTCAGAAAGCTTTTTTAGCAGGTATGGAAAAATCCCAAATATTCACCATGTCGAGGAACCTACCACCACTTACATGCCTTCTCCCTAAATTTGTAACTTGATGTTTAGAAGGATATTTATAGATTATAAAATTTATCACAGGCAAACCTGCTGAATTACACTGAATCTGTAATATTACAGTTGGTTCCTGAACAACACGGGCTTGAACAGTATGGGTCCATCTGTATGCAGATTTTTTACTGTACAGAACTGTAAGTGTATTTTCTCTTCCTTAAGATTTTCTTGTTAACATTTTCTTTTCTCTAGCTCAGTTTATTGTAAGAATACAGTATATAATAAAAATATAACATACAACACACGTGTTCATCAACTGTTCATGTTATTGATAAGGCTTCTGGTCAACAGTAGACTATTATTAATTAAGTTTTTGTGGGATCAAAAGTCATGCTTGGATCTTTGACTATGCAGGGGTCAGCACCCCAAGCCCCAGGTTGTTCATGGGTCAACTGTATTTTGAAGCATAACTACATCTTTTCTAAAAAACTAGAGACAGTGATACTATTTTGTATGTATTTAGGATTTAAGACATAAAGTTTTTTTGCCTTTTCTTCAAGATGCTTTCAAAACCCAGTACTATGTAATATAAAATATTTAAAGGCTTAAATTATTTTAATTATAACATTTCATAAATCTTTTTTTGTTGAAATGCCAAAATTTTGGCATTTCTTCAAATAAATATTTTGAGTTCATAGATCATGACCATAACACAACTTGACTGATTTTTCCCCCTGAATTATTATCTTTCATATTGGCTTATTCGTGAGCAACATAAGGAGAAATGCCAGACAATAACCTTCTCAATCATAGAATGGTCAAGTTGGAAAAACAAGCTAATGAAATATTTATATCCATTCATGAATAATATATTTCCCATGAGATTTGAAAGGAAAGTGGGAAATACTTGGAATGATAATAAAAAAAACCAGCTGACTTCTTTGTTTTCTGTTATTGCTGTTTACACTGCCAGGCCCTGTGCTGAACTCCTCCTGAATCGTTTTAGTTAGTCCTCACCATAACCCTATGTGGCTCTTTTGGTTTTTAAGATGAGAAAAGCACATTTCCCATTTCAGTAGACCATACCCTATCAGAGTCAGCGCTGGAGTGGGCCTGCATTTCTCTGAATCTCTGCTTTTAACTACCGTGGTCATTTGTCTAATAAGCCTGTGACCCTCAAGGGCCATAAGATGCTGTTGGAAAATGGTGGGTCACATGCATGTCCGATCCAACCCACTGCCTGACTCAACCATTGAATCAACCACACCCATATCTTCAGATCCCCATGAAAGTGAAACAGACCGCTGACAATAGCTGAGCTAATGTTGGTTCAATACAGGGCAGAACTACTTCCCCGATGCTCAGAGAGTTGATGATCGAAAAAACAAAACTGCACTAAAAAACCTGGAAGAAGTAGAGAGCCTCTGTAATCTTTTTGTGCTCTCTCCTGTTCCTGTTCCCAATTGCCCTCTGGCTGGCCCCTTAAAGACCCTAATGGGACCTCCCATGAGGTCTCCCCAGTGGGGGTGCCCTTCCACACTCCCCTGTTGCCCTGGTGTAACACTTGGTGTCTGTGCACAGCATGTCCATGCTTGCACATCTGACCAACGCCCACCAGGCCCTCCTGCCCACGATTCCTCTTGGTTGCTCTCTGCTGAGCAAGTGGCCCCTTCCTCTCCATTCTGCACTCCTCCTAATGCTGCTACTGTGGGCACAAGGCAAAGCTTTGAAAACCTAATAAGCAATATGATCTAGGGCAGTGATTTCCACTTGGGCTTAAGTTCATCCATCATTCAACTAACATTTCACTTAGTAGTTAAGTTCTCAATCACCATATCCTAGGACACTCAGTGAGGACCTACTTTGGTACACCTACCTGTCGTGTGCTTTGGAGAATATCACAAAACCCAAATTAATGAACTCAAATATGAAAGAAATCATGACGCAGACAAGGAAAGGCATGATAGGGAATCAAAATTTCACAAAGACCATGAATTTCTGGAAAAGGCCATAATGAGATTTTAGTGTCCATAACAATTTAAATTATGAATTATTTAATGTAGATAACCTGAAAGTCCCTAACTAAATATTATAAAAAGGCATTTTCATGAACCTAAATCAATGCAATATATAATTACAAAAATTTATAGAACAGTCCTAAAATGTGTCATAATCTGAAAAAGCCTTAAAAATCATTCCAAAGAAACAACAACCATTATTACATTCCAGAAATCGATTATAAAATGTGGTATTATAAATAGATGGATAATTGAATTAGGGATGCTACATTTTATACTTCATGTGCCTACTCTATCATCATCCATCTAATTTAATTTGCCTTGAAAAGAGCTGCATGGCTGAATTGATTTTTAATAACTTTCTGTTCTTAAAGTTATTCTGCCAAAGCTTTATTTAAATTTCTAAGCCACTTTCGATTAAAGACACTTATGTCAACAGAAGAAGACACATTTTTTATTCAGTGGAAATCTTTCCAAGATAGAAATTAAAAAGTTGAATTTTTAGGAATTAAAAAAAAAAAACTTTCACTTACCATAGCCGATGGGCAACTCGATCTTCCAGGTGCAGTCTAGGTTGTTGGGGTAAGCGCCTGGAAACCCTGGGCTCAAGATCACGCCCCCCATGCTGCTCAGCGTCCCTCCGCAGGTTGCTGTGAAGTGGACAAGCGTGCTTAGTGCTGGGGGCCATTGCTTTCTAGCAAGGGGATTTACTTCCTGCTGCTGTAATTGATGCAATGACTAGTTATATACATGATGCAATGACTAGTTATATTTATGGGTCTGGTTCTCCCTCTCCCAGGTCAACTACTTAAGAACAGACTGTTTTCAAAATATATCTACTTCTGGTGCACAGAGACTCAGGAAATGTTCGTCAGTTTAATGCATATTCATCAGGCACCCCCATGACTTTCAGGTTATGGGTGGCTATTTATTGAGTGGTAGTATTAGCTACTATTTAAATTCATTGGTAACCATGTGCTACCTACCAGACTGAGTAAACACACAGCATGACTTAATTCTCATAAAACCCTAAAAATGGAGTTGGTGTTATTGTTACCCATTTTACAGATTAGGAAACCAAGTCTGAAGAGATGAAGCAGTTTGCCTAAACAACACAACTAGAATATTATACCAGCTCCATCTGGCTCCAGGACCGACCTTTTAAGCAGGGTATGTTACCTTTGGAATTCTGTTCTGTTTTGGAGTGCAGCTCACCAAAACCACCTTCTCCCTGGGGAAACCTTACACTCATTGTCATGACCAGGCATGAACTGAGCTTCCTGGCCTGACCTGGGTTACTCATATTTTATGCCTACTGTAGCTGAAGTTTGACTCTAAAGAAACAACTGATTTTATAACACACTTGTCAAATAATCTATGTTGAAGCAGATGAAATTCTGACCCTTGACCATTTGTGACCTATTAAAATGGCAATTTCTTATATTTCAAAGTAATAATGCAAATGGTGTCACATCTTTGCAGGAAGTCACATTAAAAGGCTTTATTGCTATTCTAACAATGTTCTTATTAGGCAAACTAGGTATTGGCAGGAACCTCTTTCAGAGATCTCTGAATCTCCACTCAGGGCCTATAGTGCAGTCTTCTTCTTCTTCTTTTTTTTTTTTTCTTTTTAACCACCAATGTAGGAACACTTTATCTGTTGAGGATACGTTTGATATGGGGAAAAATCTAAATAGTCTTAAAAAATCAAGTCTGGTGAACATCATAATGGCCCAAGCTAGGGAATCCTACTCTGGGTTTTGACACTGTACAAGTTATTAAAGATGTAGGTTTAAAAAAAATAAAAATGTAGTTTTGTGGGATGAGTGAATAATGCCAGCAAAACCCTGAATGTCACTATTGTTGTCAGTCAGAGTATGACCTCTCGAGGTGCCCTTTTTGTGGGAACACCAAGTATGTGGAGACACAGGCTCCGGGATGCACTTTATCCATGAGTCTGCCCATTCTGGTGAAGGCAGGCTGGTGGATCTGAGTGGCATCCCTAAATATATTTAGCAGTAATATCCCTCCCCTCAGGTCTCTCACCCTGCGATGATAGTAAACATGTCTGTCCAACCACAGGACAGACGGACATGAAAATGACAAATCAGTGGCAGCAACACCAAGACACATGCGAAGTAAAGGTGACATTTTTAAAGAGGCCCTTTTGATTTTGAACATGATTTTCACGAAAAAGAAGAGGGAGAGATTGGGAATTATAAACTATAAGCATCCATGTACATCTCCAATTAAGGACTGGGATCATGTTGCAGGAACATCTGGCTCAGTGGCTGGATGATGGAAGTCACCAATAGCAACATCTCGGTTCACGTGGGCCACCTCTGGGTGTTGTGAAGACAGAAATGAAGGCTTAGACAGTGTCGTGAAGACAGATGGGAGTGCCTGGGCATTGGCTAGATCTCCTCTCACACAGATTCCTCTCACACCTAATTCCTCCAGTACTTAGTTATCACGAAATGTAATCCTACTTTATCTAAAATGTACAAAAATCACTGGGTGGGTGTAACAGCAGAGCTCCCAAAGGATGTGCATCCATCTTTTTTTCCTTTGTGATATTTAAAAAAACTCCACCAATGGACTTGTCTTACCATATATTTGTTCAATGCTACAGTCAAGTTTCAGCCTTCTTCCCAAGGCCTTCCTGTCTACCACCATTTGGTAAACTGACCTCCTGCTTCCAGCTGGAGAAACTCCCTCCATCCCAGACCCTTTCTTATAGGGAGGTAGCCTATGTAGAGAGTTAATGGCAAATATGGTGTCTCCAAAGGACAGAGTGTTGATTACTATCAAAGAGCTGGGGATCTTACATCTTACTGAATTTATTTTTCTTATTTTGTGCAAATTCCTGATTTTTTGGTGATGATATGTGGAATTTTTACTCCAGGGCACAGGGCATGCCCCACTGGAAAGACCCCATGGTGTAGGGAATGCCAGCTGGGTGGAAGGATCTGGCAAACACCTTGGACGCTCTGGGGCTTGTTGTGATGTTTGAAATGGTTAAGATTGGTTAAGCTCTGAGAATGGTGCTTGACACTGTGTAATCTGTAGAGAAGTGTTTGGATATAAATTGTCTTCATTAGGATTTGAAATTTCTAAGAGCTAATAAGTAAAATATTATCTCTCTACAGATTTCTAGTCTTAAAAAAATCCCCCAGTTTATATTAATTTGAAGCTAACAGCTAAAAAAAAAGAAAAAGAAAGCAAAAACAAAACAAAATAAAACAAAACAAAAAAACACCTTTCAATCTCTCAGATCAGAGTTGGAGATTTATTGTGGGCCGTTTGTGAGTTTTCCAGTGAAAAACCTTTCTCTACAGCTTGTAAAAAGTTAGGAGTGAGCAGGTGTTACGGAAGTTGATGTATCTTCGACATTTGCTAATATATGAGGCAAGCTAACTAAAAGATAAAAATCAATGATATTTGGCTAATATAGGTTAATTATTTGAATAAAACATGTCCTCCCCTAATACAGAGTACCAGCAATGACACACTGTTTGATTGAATACCTGTTGTGAGCTAATTTCATTTCAAAGTTAAAATTTTTCAACTCCCAAGTTTCAGGGAAGGTTCTTCACCAAAAAACAAACAGGAAGATGGATGCTCTATAAGTAAAAGGAAGGGAGGGAGGATGCAGTCCCCTGAGCTTGACACCCATTATCTCTCTGTTTCTCCCTTCCAGGTCACACCTGGGATTTCCAATCTCTGTACAAATAACTTCAAAGTTTTTGGTGACGGGGTAACCTAGACATTTAATTTTACCAAGAAATCACTTTCAGGAAAACAGATACTGGTCACCAGGGAATATTTTCACTTGTAAGCAAATACACTGTGATGAACATTACAGGGGATACTGGGACATGGACTGTCTCCTGCAGGAGAGCATCATAAAGGCTGCAGTTCTGTTTTAAAGGTTTGGCTTAGTTTTATTTTCTCCTGTATATGACTCCATCTGTTTACCGTTTAAGGTAATGAAGTTACAGATTACTAAAAACCATCTAATACCGAGGATTTGTGGGAGATGGGGGAAAATCAGGCTTTCAGAGGAATAGGTAACAGAGGGTAACTCTCTCGCTTTCCCTGGGGGGGCCTGAAGGAACCCTAAGCTCTCATGCTCCTCTACAAATGGATTCGGAACAGCGTCTGAGTAGCTTTAAGAACACTTTCCAGGCTGTATTGTGGCCTTTAAAATCACGTGCCTTTATTCAGGAAAGCTGACCACTTTCTCCTGAAACACCATGTGCAATATGAAGATGCTCAAAGGTTGCGTTCTAGAGACCAGGGGGTTCCGAGTGCACCACACACAGCATCCACGTGTGGGAAGCAAGAGAGGGACTATGAACGAAGCGTCCGTGGTCACTGTCATAATGACCCATGTTGTCATCTACTGGTCATTCTGGAATCAAAGTTACTGAGAGCCTACCACGTGTTCACAGTAGAGTGCTGAGGGATGCCCGGCTCTGTCTTTAAGGTCCTGGGTGTAGCAAGGAGACTAACCTGAGCTACATGACATCACAGCTCCAGGAGAAAAAGTAGAGTCATCCACATCATAGAAATGACTCTCTGTCATTGCTGGGGTGAGGGTCAGGCCAGTGAGGGAGGTGTCCCTCAGGTGCAAACTTTAAGAACGAGCCTGGACCCTCAAACAATATGTTGGTGCAATATTTGGAAACATCAAAAGGAATGCAAACAAAAAAAAAAACAAAAAACAAGACTGTGATGAACAAAATATCAACCTTTCACATAAAGAGAGATGTATTACTGCCTTCTCCTCTGGCCTTGGGCCCAAATTGGGGGCCAACATGGAGCTCGCGGGAGGCGGGGCATGGGGAAGGGCATAGACACTGGGGTGCAGGCTCGAGTGGTGGTTTTGGATGTTTTGGGGAAGTGAGAGCGGGAGGGCAGGTGGTACCAGAACCAAATCACCAGCAGGTCCCTGAAGCTGGGAGATGCTGTTCGGGGTGGGGCGTGGGCGTGGAGTAGACCTGTGGGGCCGTGAGATGCTGTTCTGGGTGGGCGTGGGTGCGGAGTAGACTTGTGGGGCCGTGTGCAGGTTCACAAGCTCCTCCCCCTGATAAAGTAGGAGGATCCCCAAAACTGGGGGACTGTAAGTTAGGATCCTGATGGCAGTCACTTAGAAGGGGCCGTAAAGGTGCTAGAAGCCTGTGAGAACCTAAGGCTGAGGACTTAACAGGTGAGAATCGAGACTGGGGACCATTTAGGTGGTAGGCCAGCAAGAGTGAGGAACTCTGCATTTGGTGGATGATATGGAAGCTGAGATAATATCCAGATTATACAAAAGAGGTGATGATCATGGGGGTCACCTGGGAAGGGGATTCAGGAGGTGCAACAGGGTTTGAGGAAGGCAGGAAGTGTGCATCCGGGGTAGACTGAGTTGCACATTGAGGGTAGGACCCAACGAAGTTATGTGGTCACCTGAGCTGTAAGTGAAGATTCCTGAGCCAGACAGACAGCTGATGGGTGGTGGCCAAGCTTGAGGCCCAAGTGAGGGTAAGACTGGGCAGAGTTTAAGGGGCCTTACACATCAAGGTCTTCCCATAATGGAGGTAAGCATGGAGCACTGGGTGTTACACGAAAACAGCGGAGCGTGGATCACCACATCAGAAACTAATGATGTATTGTATGGTGACTAACATAATTAAATAAATAAATAAATAAAAATAATGGAGGTAAGCGAAAACCACCTGCTCTGCCCAGGGAATCACTCCGACCACATCCTCCATGCAGTTAATTGGGCCCCGGACACCGGTTCTTCCTCTTACAATGCTGTGTTTGGAACGCTTTTCCCTACAGAGGCAGGCTGGATCCCCGTCCTAATGAGCACATCCACAGGCGGACCCCTCCCTTTCTCCTATAAAATACTGTCTCTCCAACTTTAAGTCACTTATTTGTATTTCTGAATTTCGTTTCTGGAAACTCGATTTTCCTGGGGCCCAAAGGCCTACACAGAACTGTGCTCAGACTTTCAGAGCTGCTGTGTTCCTTGCTTCTCATAATTAATCCACTGGCCTTCTGATACAAAGGTAATTGGAGTCTAGCACCTCGAGCTATAGCAATCCTACATCTAGCCCGTGTAGCTTGGTCCTAAGATGATGAGACGGCTGAGCCAGCACCTCTCGTGGGACAAGATGCATGTTCAATTTTTGCTACACCTCTATTGCATCATGATGTGTTTATTAAGTAACAACGGTTTTGAAAGGACTTTAAAAGTGTGTCATTTGAAGCCCGGAAGAGTAGCTCCGGGAGCTGACCGCTGCGTGATTGCTAGTTCCCACGCACAGGGGCAGTGTCCGTACCAATGCAGAGCGGGGACGGGTAGTTCCAGCGACGCACAGTTCCCGGCATGCAAGAAATGTGGGACCGGCCCTGTTTAAGAGAAAAGGAAATAAAGCTCACATCACTGCAGACAGAGTTTGTAAGGACTCAGTGTGAGACTATCTGTACCTCCTTTGGTTTCCTTTTTAAATTACAAACCACAAATCGTGGAATGTAGTCCACTAATGTTTGTCAATGAATCACATCACATACTTGGAATCAAGATAGGAAGAAAAAAAAAAAAAATCCGTAACCGCTGTACTTCTTTTCACTAACACCAAAATCTTGCAGTGTCCCTTTCAATGGTCTGTTTGTGACATGATCCTTTCCTGATGCTTAACGGGATGGCTTGGGAAAGACACATCTTTGTGCTTTTTTTTCTTTTTTTTTTTTTTTTAATCATCAGAAGTTACAGTTTTTGATCTGGGAGGCTGTAAATGATTAGGAAATACTAGGGATCGATCTGAAGGGCGGAAGGTCAGCAGTATGTGATCTGCTTCTGAGAAGGCACCTACTTCGTCACCTTCCCTGCTTAGAATTCACTAACAAATCACACACCCCTTATGGTCCTGCAAAGAACTGGGTCAGTTGCTCCTTCATCAGAGAAAAAGGAGGCTTAATATTCATTGTATTATCAGACAGGCTCACAAACTGCCAAAGAATTGTGGCCGCAATAAAATTAATCCTCATCACCCACGGTCTCTTTATCCTTTAAATATATGAAGTTTTCAACATTCAACCTTCAAAAAGATCTGTCCTATTCTGTTTTAAAAATCACACGGCAGCAAGTTAAATTCTGTGTTTTGTGCTAAAATCTCACTCTAAAAGAGAAGGTAGTAAACGGACACCTCTGTGCAGACTATTCGTTTTTACTTATTTTTTTTCTTCTGTGTGACTCGGTGGTCTCATCTGCTGTGGGTACTGATTGTGTGAGTTTCCATTTGCCACCCATAATTGGCACAGAGCCAACTGGAAACAAATCTTGAATTCATGTCAAATAATCGCGGCCACACTGGGGACGCATCAGACAAGAATCTGCACTAATGCAGTTGTCAATGACAAACCAATTCCCTAAGCTCAGAAATATTTCATACACGATTCATCTGCCACAAAGCTCATTTTCTAATACTTTCTGATATGTTAAAAAGTCACTAAAGCAAAAGGAGACTGTATTTATTCTTAAAGAAGACCTTCTGTGCAGTACATTTCCTGCTAACATTCATGCTCTGTGTGCACTCGTTTTCTGATCCGTTAAATTATCTTTACTAAATTTCTTCCTGAATTATGGAAAACGTAAAGTGCAAAGGCCTTTAAAGACATTTATCGATGACTACCAATAAAATAGTCATTTATTATCAATCTAGGTCATATTCTGTTATTGATTCTGGCACAAACATTTTATATTAGTTATTCCAGCTGAAATGCATCTCATGGATTGAAAATAAGATAGGACTCTATGTATTTACTAGTTTAAAATAAGAATTTCCTGTTTTCAGCTTTTCATCTTGTAAAGGACGCCGAAACAAGGCTGGGGAAGATGGAAATCCTCAAGTGCACAAAGGTGCAGGATTCCCTCTGCGTGTCATGGGATAGCTCCTCTGTACTGCATCCAGGAAGCTCCCGAGGCATGCAGGTCCATGCACATCTGTGTGTGAACTCCTCATAAATGGTATGTCATTCATGCATGCTGGGATTATGTTAACATGTTAGCAGATGTGTTGTCCATTTTTAGCAACTTAAAAAAAAAAACAAAAACAAAAAAAACCAGGATCCTTTTTCACTCCTGTGAATGCCAAACACAGTAGCTTGTGAAGTCAAAGTTTGGCCCAGTCCCTAAAGAAGACCCAATAGCTTAGTTTGCATTTGAAAACCAGAGCTAATGAGCAGCCTGGCAGGGCTCTGCAGATGTGTGTCCACAGGCCTTTATCTGCAAGCAGTTTGTTAAACAACCCATCCTAAGGAGGGTCCTTCCAGAATCCTCCTTTCTGTGTTCTTCTCTGAGGGCTGCAAAGGTGTCATTTATGAAAGGATTCTCATAGTAACTGCAAAGTGACATAATGAATGAGTAGAAAGAAGATGAACGTCCACGAGCAAAGCAAGTATTCATGTGGGAATTCGTGTTCATTTATAAAGCAAGCAAAAAAAAAAGGACATAATAATGACGTATCAGTATGTACTGTGGTGTCCCTCTACATGAAGCCCGTGGGACGTGACTCAGACTTCCTTATACTATAATGTGGTTAAGTTTTGTCTTAAAGAATCCGTTAAAGTAGCCTCCATGTGCTTGTTTAAAAACTTGCTTAGAGGCAGAACCTGTATGCAAGGTCCCTCAGTAACTCTCAAGCTTTGCAAAGGAGGGTCTGCCCATCCTTTCTAGAGTCCCAGCAATTATCACAGTGCCCACCAACATCTGCAGGTTGTGGCTGTTTTTATGAAGGCGACTTCCCACACTGATGTTAGTTTACAGCAACAGCGGTGATGGTTCCTTTGCTGTGTCCTGCACTAGGTGCTCGCCTGGGATGCCTTCCCAGCTCTTCTCTCTCCCCGCACCCTCGCCCCCCGGCTCAGCTTCCCCTCTCATCCAGGAAAGACCTGCCTCCCAGCTCCCACATCACGGGGTCGCCCAGGACAGATGCGGGTTCGTGTGTGATGTGCGTCAGGGGTACTCGATCAGCGCTCAGCGGTTGCTGGCAAGTCTGTGACTTGTCTCCGCTCTGCAGTGTTTCCTACAACACACTGCGGATCACAGACTACACGCAGTGGTGTCTTTTCCCCGCTGTACCTTTGCGACTCTTTTCTGATGCTTCCTCAAGCTCATTTGTTTAAGTCAGTTAAAGAATAGAACTAATATGTTTTTCCTTAAAATATGATCAGCTTCAATGTGGTAATAAGCAGACAGCCAAAAGTACTCTATTACCTGAAATAACCGAAGAGGAGACACATCATTAGGCTTAACTTTTTCTGCTTGACTTTGTAATATGCATGTGTAGACTATTAATAGTCATTGTTGGCAGGGAGAATCCTATAAGAATTATGCTAGGTGACAGAAACTATTTTGCGAGTAAGCTTATTTATGATTAGACCAGAAAAAATAACAGAATATAATGAATGTTGGCACATATTAGGTTATAAAAGTTCATGAAAACTTTTATATAAAATTATAAAAAATGATAACGACTCCTCAATATTTCCTGGAAATCATTGAAACCTATTATTTGAGCACCACAGTACCTGGCAAGAATATGTACAGAATGATGATTTGCCCAAATGACCATGAGAACAGTGTGCACAGGGGTTGTTGGGGTGATGCTTTGAAAGAGACTTGTGTCAATACTTTGTCCCTTAGAAATTTTATCTGCATACTTATGGGGAGAACATACATTTTGAAATAAAATAATTACGAAAACAAGATGCTCAACTTTGAAAGAGAGCATCCTCGTTAGAAGCTATTTCCACATTATAGTTAAGATTACCAGCATGCATGGCTTAATGTGACTACTTTGATTTACAACCAGAGTGAGAGAAACTAAATTAGTTCTCCAGGTACAAATCTCGGGCATCGGCTTCACCAAGCTGGCCAAGGACTCCTATGTTTAACCCTCTTTATTCCCAAATCTCAAAAGGAAGATACCTGCAAGGTGTACCCGGGTTCACACTGAAAGGAGAGGACATCGTTCACCATATACCGATCTCCTATTTTGATGCCGTTGCTGGGAAGGGCTGGTTCTTGGCATGCGGAGAGACCCACAGCTGCAGAAATGCAGGGACAAATGCTTAGGAAGTATGCAATATAAACAACATGCTTATTTTTGGAATAACAAAATAGCTTTTTTCCCCTATGGCTCTCTTCCTGAGGAAATGAACAGAGACCTTAATTCTTTCTCTTGTTAGTTTACCAAGAAGACTTCAGGTAACTTTAAATCAGCTGTTAGCTAATTCTTAAATACATTTCATATTCAGCATGCAGTGAATCAAGCTTTTCCTTAAATAATACAATTTGCTGCTTCCATGTTTACTATTATACACTCCAATTCCAACACATGCACATTTTAAAAGGTCCTTTAAAATTATGTTTCTTATTATATGCAAAACCCATGACAATGCTCTCTTGCTTTCTTGTTTTTCAAGCATAGTTAGCAATCTTTATGAAAAATTTTAAGTGTGAATCTGGGAATCCTATCCTTCCAGAAAAACATAATATGAAAACAAATATTTTATATTCTCTCTCTCATTTAAAGACAACAAAATTCTCATGAACAGTGTGTTCTCAGATAAACAGGACCAATATTTACAGATCTTAAAACTAAAATCAGACACTTTTCTAGATGGAATTGCCTTTAGTTAGGGCACTGACAATTTTTTTAATGCATCACATAATACTGGCATTCAGCCTAAAATATAGAAAAACTAATTCTAAGTATTTATCACTGATACCTCTCTCTATAAGCCCCATAGCACAGATAGACAAAATATGCAGGTCTGGTATTTTATAGAATAAAAAATGCATCTGAAATGATGCTAAAGATGTAGGGATTGCAAATAATCCTTTTCATCAGTGTGGTACGTCTGCTCTCATCCCAGGTTACACAGGACGGATGGGTTTTCCAGGGTGACAGATGGGGAAGGACATTACAGCAGCCCAGATTAAAGTTCTTCATGTGACCTTGGACTTCTACTCCGGCTCTTGGTCACCACACTAATAGGAATGAATTGGTCAGATTAGTTAACTGATTGGGACTGGGGGCTCTGAGTAAGATGGCTGGGATGGGGAAGGTGGGTCATCTTTAATCAATCCAGAGGCAAAAACTGGTGGGAAATGGAAGAACAGGTCTATGCAGGGCAGCCAGCTGCACGGTTGTGTGTCCCAGAGCAGGATGAGGATGCGCGCTGCTCACCTTGCACACGGGACCGCATCCACGCGTGTGGGCGCTGTGTCCAGCACATCGCCTCTGCGCATGTGCACACCCCCCGCCCCAGTCTTCACTTACACAAAGATAAAATTACCAAGAGCCGCAAGATGGGCTGCAGCAAGCCCAATAGGCTTCTGCAAGCAGGAGTCAATGTAACTCCACGTGGTGCCCACCCACACGCCCAGCAGGCTGGATCCAGATTACAGAGCTTGAGCAGGCCGCTCCTGGGGAAACCAGACATGCTGATGACCATATATCATTATACTAGATGCATGATATTGCTCTAAGTCTTCCAAGAGCCAATAACCACGACTCCTTGTATCTGATATTAAAGAAAGGACAAGGGAAGTCAAATTAACAAATTAACAGGTCAAGTTTTCCAGGTATAGGCATGTACATAATAAACCCATCTCTCGGTGCCTAAGTGAATGGTCCATTGGCCTGCACTGAATTGCTCCATTTCCTTGCTTTTCAAAGTCTGGTATGAGAGCTTGACAAACACACACTTTTGGCTCTAGCTCAGAACTGTTGAACCAGAACGGTCCTGTTAACACCATCCTAACAATTCTTATGCATTAAAGTTTGAGAATCACCAGTTTGACTCACTTTCCCCCCAAAGCTGAAATGAAGCAAAGAGAGAAACGTGTCTTTATTTTTTTCATCAACGGTGTGATTGTTCATTTGAGAACACCATGCCACAGAGTTTGCATCAGAATGGACACCACTGGTACATAAACTAGCTGGATAATTTCAAGCTTTGGAACACATTGATTTTATCTGGGATGAGCAGGTATGAGGTGCTATCATGGAGTTTTTCTACTGGAATTGTTTCTTCCCTAAATGGCTATATATTAAAAAGTATAAAACACCATATGCATTAAGTGGGGCAATGTTTTTTTATTCCCAGCACAAAATTTCAAGATAATTGGGGCTTTATATTTATATATGATAAAATTGCTAAATATGGAAAAATATAATCACTTAGGCCTTTATCTTGTTTTGTTGGTATAAATCTAATTTATCTCTTTCTTAACTCTAGAATGTACATTGTATTTAAATTTTACCCTTTCTCCTATCACAGCAGAGCAAGATCACCTACCACTTGTCACTATTTTTTTTTATTTGACCCTGGAAAAAAGTACTTAAAATGCCTTCGTATAAATTTAATTACAACTTGAAATACTAAAAAGCTAATTTTTGGTGATATTACATCATCATTTTGATATACTTCAAGTGCACAGAGAGACCAGAGAATATCAATAACCCAAAAATGTTCAAAATAAACTGATAACATATTTTGAAATTAAAAAAAAAATGTAACAAGTAATTCAAAATTAAATTCTAGTTATGAAATACCCATCCCTTTACATATAAGATACAACACGCTTTTACCTACTATATTTATTTATTACATGGTGATTGATATATATGTATTATATGTTAACTTATTTTCATTTTCTCCTTCCTTAAATTCTATGTGTAAATCCTATTCATCCTCTGAATAAAAACCAAAAACTTGCATTTATCTGTACCTGTGGGAATTGTAATACATTTTCTGAATAAATTAAAAGCATACATAAAGTCATTTTAATCAGTGTTTGATCTGATGACCCAGGAAGCCGTTATATGGTGACCCAGATATTTGATCTGTAGACAGAAACATCCCCCTGTCACTTCTCAGTGTCACGAGGTATCCAGTATACGGTAGAAGCTAACACCACCAAGTTTTTTGATGTCTCTAGGGACATTTCCTAGTAACAGCATCTACATATATTTACATAGAGATAGGTAAATAAGTGATTGATATGATCATCCACAAATATTTATTGAACTACCCTGGACCAGAGTCCCAGTATGTTCCATGCATCACGTTTCTCTCCTAACAATGAATGTCTCCAGCAACACTGAGTCAAGTCGCAGTGAAAACAACGAATTTATGTCATGAGTGGAAGATTTTTATTTTTAGGTTTAGAAAACCATCACCCTAGCAGAGGGGAGAGTTGAAGGTGTGGCAGATTCAGATCTCCAAACCAGCTGGGTTTAAGCACAGCCCCAGACAGAAGTGTTCAACACAGCGGTGAAGCACCATTTCCCATGATCTACAGGATCCCGGTAAAACGCTTTAGAGAAAAAGCAACCGAGTGCATTATGGACCCAAACAGGAAAACCAGGAAGGAGGCGGGGCAGCCCCAGAAATGCTGGTAACAATGTAAGGCAAGTCTTTTAACTTAGAAGACAGAACAATGAACTTTCTAACCGCTAGTTGGCAGGAGGAGGTTTACTGATGAATTTTTGGTACAGAAAGAGGGCAGACTACTTGCATTTAATCATTAGGCTAATCAAAGTGTGAAATAAAGAAGATAGAAGAAGAAATAGGCAGGGAAATAAATATGAGCAGGAAGGGAAGTCAGTTTAAGTCCATACATGCGTCCATCACTTTTTAAAGCACCTAAAAAGAGAAGAGTTTTAGAAGAATGTTGTTGAAGCAAACCTGATTTTTAATGTTAACTCATGGGTGGTGGTATCCATACGTGACAGGTACAGTCGTAAAGCCAGTCAAATAAAAGATACTGATTTAGACACAAAATGAGACATGTCGGAAGACATATACAAATAAAAGAACTTCTCTAAAATCAAGTTGTGACACAAAACCATCTGGCAAGAAAATTCAAAATTAATTTTTCAAAAAGAGAGACATCTGGTATATTGTCATTTTGTAAGCAAAAGTTTCTATAGAAAGATTTCTAGTTTTTTCAAAGCATGGAATGTTTATATTCTGTACTATCAATGACAATACAGCAAATACTATAAAGCTAGGTTTCTTTAAAAGGTGGTTCATGAGCCACCTGATTCTGAACCGTGAGGTATTCCAATTAAATGTGACAATGAGAGGTTAACTGTTGAGTGTTCTAAAGATTTAGATTTATTGCTATAAAGCAATGAAAGAGGGAGAAATATTTTATGTAGCACCACATTTCACATGTAAAAATTTGGACATTTTGAAATGTGTGGATTTATAAAGTTGGGATTCGACTTAGAAGGTAGCTCAAAAAGTCTTTATTTCCCCATGCGTCTAGTCTGAGAAGGCAGAGAATATAAAACAAAGCCATTAAAAAGACAAGTGTCCTAGTTTGACCAAATCTACAGCTTAATGGCTTTACCTGCCACTGACCATCAAATGCGGAAGTTATGAACCAGATTATAACAAGTAGCCTCATCGGTTCTCTGGAAGGTATTGTAGTCATTATCCTAAATTTATTAGATAAAATTCAGAGAACCGTTTGCTCAAATCTTGAGAATAAAAATAATTTTGAAATCCATGATAAACATGCAATGTTTGTCCAATGTTGGGAGCAGGAAAAGTGAGCCTGTGTAGATACAGTTGAGACAACTTTGAGCATTTTTTGTCAACTTAGCATTGTCCTCATTTTGACTGGTGTAATGTACGATTTTCAAAGATCACAACTTAAAAAAAAAAAAAAGCATGTCATTCTAGTGGCACTGCTCAAAACAATAATCAAGATAAAAACCACAGATAGAGGAAAGCAGAGCTGAATGGTAAGACTACTAGAACTGTGTTAGCTGACAGGGCAAAGAGGTCAAAGAACATGTGCAGATACATGAGCTTTATTAAATACATAGGTAGGTCATCCCAAGCACTATAGGGATACATAGGCTATTCCTTAATTTTTGAAAAGAAAAAAAAAAATGTTGAGCCCATTTTTTTTGTAAGTAAATTAATAATAACCATCCCCTCGCATAAAATTGGTAGGTAAAAATCTTCCATTACATGCATATAAGTGTAGTGAAGCCTAAATCAGAAGTGTTACTGACAGTCTG